GCCTCACTAAGTTGCTGAGGGTAGCCTTGAACTTGTGATCCCCCTGCCTCAGCCTCCTGAGTTGCTGGGATCACAGGTGTGCCACACACTTGGCTATGTTTTCAGTTTTCATTTGATTCGCTCTGTATGTCTGGTTCCACGATGCGTTGATACCATCTTTAAAATCTGAGCATTCTGGACCTTCCCAGCCTTGCGTTTCCTTGTCTTGAGTCTGTTCAGCGCTCTCACTGTTGCCCTGGTCTCTGTCCCCGTTTCTTCATTCAGGAACCAGTTTCTTGACTTCATGGAGAGCAGGAAGCAGTTGCTGTGTGTGGATGAGTATCTCTTTCCATCCTGGTTCAGTTTGCTGCCTCTGGGAAGCCTGGTTCCCTATATGGAAATCTCCAATGAATACTTGAGTCTCATGCCCGCTCGGGTCCTGGACTGTTTCCTAGGGACTTACTACAGGCTGCAATGGCTTCAGGAGATCTCAAAGATCTCAGAAGATCTCTTGGAGGTTTGTGGTTGGGAGTTGGGTGTCAGGTCCTTGCTTAGTAAAAGCAGGTTACAAACTGAACATTGAAATGTTTGTGGGTCTTCTGTCCTGAAGGGAAGTTGGGGGAAGTGCTGAGAAATAATCAGAGAATTGCTGAAATAAGAAGTCATTATTTCTTAGGATTGAAGTTTGACTTCCCAGAGTTGATTCTGGTTTAGTAAATAGAGCACAAGACAACAGTAGCCATTTGTTATTTATGACTGTTAGAAGGTGCTGTTAACATCACATGTTTCATAGTTGCTGTCTTTCATTTTATGCTTTTTGAGGTAAAGAAAATGGTATAAGGACTTGGGAATCAATTTAACAAAAGAGGTGAAAGACCTCAACAATGAAAACTACAAAACACTAAAAAAAGAAATTGAAGAAGACCTTAGAAGTTGGAAAGGTCTCCCATGCTCCTGGATGGGCAGAATTAATATTGTCAAAATGGCCATATTACCCAAAGCAGTATACAGATTGAATGCAATTCCAATTAAAATTCCTATGTCTCTCCTAATAGAAATGGAAAAAGCAATAATGAAATTTATTTGGAAAAATAAGCGACTCAGAATAGCCAAATCAATCCTTAGTAAGAAAAGTGAAGCAGGATGCATCACAATACCAGACCTTAAACTGTACTACAAAGCCAGAGTAACAAAAACGCATGATATTGACACCAAAATAGGCATGTAGACCAATGGTACAGAATACAAGACATAGGGACAAACCCACATAAATATAGTTATCTCACACTAGACAAGGCGCCAAAAACATACATTGGAGAAGAGATAGCCTCTTCAACAAATGGTGCTGGGAAAACTGGAAATCCATATGCAACAAAATGAAATTAAATCCCTATCTCTCACCATGCACAAAACTCAACTCAAAGTGGATTAAGAACCTAGGAATTAGACCAGAGACCCTGCACCTAATAGAGGAAGGAGTAGGCCCAAATCTTCATCACGTTAGATTAGGCCCTGATTTCCTTAACAAGACCTCTAAAGCATAAATYATAAAATCAAGAATCAATAAATGGGATGGATTCAAATTAAAAAGCTTCTTCTCAGCAAAAGAAACAATTAGTGAGGTGAAAAGAGCCTACATTTTGGGAGCAAATTTTTGCCACATGCATGTCAGATAGAGCATGAATCTCCAGGATATGTAAAGAACTCAAAAAACTTAACACCAAAAAYACAAACAACCTAATCAATAAATGAGCTGAACAGACACTTCTTAGAAGAAGATGTACAGTCGGTAATAAACAAATATATAAAAATTGTTCAACATCTCTAGTAATTAGAGAAGTGCAAATCAAAACTAAGATTTCATCTCACTCCAATCAGAATGGCAGTTATCAAGAATACAGACAACAATAAGTATTGACGACCATATGGGGGAAAATGTACACTCATACATTGGTGGTAGGACTCAAATTGGTGCAACCAATCTGGAAAGCAATATGGAGATTCCTTAGAAAACTTGGAATGAAATTGACCCAGCTATCCACCTCCTCGGTCTATACCCAAAGGATTTAAAATCAGCATCCTATAGTGATGCAGCCACATCAATGTTTATAGCAGCACAGTTCACAATAGCTAAATTGTGTAATCAACCTAAATGCCCTTCAATAGATGAATGGATAAAGAAACTATGGTATATATACACAATGGAATATTATTGGGCATTAAAAAATAATAAAATTATAGCATTTGAAGGTAAATGAATGGAGTTGGAGGATATCATGCTAAGCAAAATAAGCCAATCCCCCCAAAACAAAGGCTGAATGTTCTCTCTGAATAGTGGATGCTGATCCATAATGCTGGGGGTGGAGGAGTCACATGGGAAAAACGGAAGAACTTTGGGCAAAGGGGAGAGAGGGAAGGGGAGGAGGCATGGGGGCAGGAAAGATGGTGGAACGAGGTGGACATCATTACCCTAGGCACATGTATGACTGTATATACGGTATGATTGTACAATGAATCAAAATGCATTCTGTTGTCACATATACCTAATTAGAATAAATAAGTTAATTTTTGAAAAAGAAAATGGTATAAGGGCTAAGATGTAGCTCAGTGGCAAAGCACTTGCCTTGCATATGCGAAGCCCTGGTTTTGATCCCCAGTTTCAAAAAAGAAAAGACAAAGGAAAGGATCCCCCCCCCCCAACAAAAAGAAAAAGAAAATGGCTTAAATTTACAGGCTGCATTTCACAGGTGGAAAATGAAGGTTGGCTCTTGAAGGCTTGTGTGCAAGGAGAACAGGACAAGTCCCTGTGCCCTTCTCCCTTCTCGGYACAGACAGCTGTTTCCCTCTTGGACTTTTCATATTTCCCTTTCTCTTTCCTGCCTTAGCATGTCGGGAATGTTTTCAAAATGCTGATGCACCTTGTGGACACCCTTCAGGATGTGTAAGTAGAGCAGCTGGTGCCACCCCCTGTGTGGGCGCCTATGTGGTGTGGGCCGCCTGGGTCAAAGTGGGAGGGTGGTGCACCAGCAAGTGCTCCAGTGTCCTCTGCAGTTGCCAATCCAGCCATCTGGTTTTTTTTTCATTTTCTTTGTCTTAAAGGAAAAGAGCAGGACTGTGGATGTAGCTTAGGGGTTGAGCACTTGCCTAGTGTATGCAAGGCCTGGTTCAGTACCCAGCACTACAAAAAAGAAAAGCAAATTACAGCTCTTGGGTGCTGAGATTTTGCTTCGTTCCCACCCAACCTTTTGGCTTTTGTGTTTTCACATATTTTAAATGATCATTGTCATAGAGCAGATGTATGTGTCCTGCATTTTTTTTTTAAATAAGTTCTTGAAAGTTGGGCCCATTTAAAACAAAAATCAAAGRTGGCCTTGCAGAATCATTTACTCCTTCACCTGTGTGGGACCTTCGCCACCTGGAGGAACAGCACGGGAAACGCATACAGTAATGTGCACCAGGGGCCTGGGTGTTCCTGGAGCCTCTCAGCACTGCTGCTCTCCCTTCTCCGAGCCCCGGGGGTGTCTGGACGTGGAGCGTAGCACAGGGCCCCCCTGTGTGGCAAGCCCCTGTGACTTTGCAGGGTCTTTTCTCATATCACCAAGCTGTCAGTCAGTAAATGTGAAACCCGGTCACACCAGGTGGAAGAAATTCTATGTGCAGTGCACACTCCTCTTCTAGCACCCTCCCTCCCTCCCTCCCTCTCTCCTATACCTCTCTGATTTTTTTCTTAAG